AGCCGGCCCGGGCAGGCTCAGAGCCACGTCCAGGCACTCGCACCCCACCCCTAGCCCCCTTTCCGCCACGCAGCGCCTTGCATGAGCTGCTGGGCTCTAACACACCCTCCTGCTCCTCGTGGCTGGTACAGCTGCATGTGTCAGGGACCCTTTTTTACTTATTCTCTCGGGTTTGTACCTAAATAAACTGCTCCGGCGGCTGACGATGCGGAGGGAGGGTTGCCTTAGTCATTTCCGAAGGGCTCGTTTCAGCAGAGTACACCGAATGGCTCTGCGAGTCCAGCTGAGGCTGTGTACGTGGGAGGAGAGACATTTTTATCACAGAGGTAAGTGGTGCAGCACACAATAGGTTTAGCTTGGCCGTCTCCACCTGATACATGTTATTAACACCGCTGATCTGGGTCCTTAAGGCTAATCCATATGCAATACCGCTCTGAGCCAAACCCAATCACCAAGCTGTTTATTACTATGCATTATTCATTGATATGCATCTTTGCACATGCATACATTAAATGTTAATTTAGAGGCATCTGTGTCCAAATGGTTACCAAGCACCTTCGTAAGATTCAGGCCACAAAACCCCACCAAAAGCAAAAAATAAATAAATAATAATAAAAATCTCAGAGCCCTTTCTCCCTGCAAACCACACCCAAATCCATGCATTTTTACTAAAAGGTGGGGAAAAAACCAAAGCCAAGGTCACAACCAAGTGAAGCCCTGTAATAAATGCACAGCACAGTGATAAAAGACTCCAGACTAAAAGGAAAGAAATAAGCCTGCAGCTTGGCCCTGAAGGATGAAGACGATGTGCTCTGGTAACTAATGAAGGAGGGAGAAATCCAAAGGCAGAGGCCCTCCAGGGGAAAAGCTCCACCTCCTTCCCCTTCTGGGACCATAAGAGTGGACCAGCCAGGGTTGTAGCCACACTGCTCTCAGGTGCTTTGTTGGGGATTGGAGGCCAACATATGGTCTCTCAGGTACACTGAAGTCCTGTATTATTTAAGGTTTATAAATATTAATAGTCATAGCATTGCTGATCAGGCAGTCCACAGAAGCTGCAGAGAGTGCTGACAGAGGCTCCAGCAAGCTGAAAGCCTTGAAGCGACTGTGTTGACACGTTCTGCAGTTTGCCAAAATGTATGCAGTGGCTTTCAGGGATAGCCTTAAATAAAGCTCATTCATCACTTGGCACATCCTTGGAAGATGCTCAGATGGCCACGGACACAGGCCTTTGTGGAGGGATGGAAAGAGAATGATCTGCCAATAAGCTAGCCTAGAGGCTGTGAAGTGACTGAGACAAGAATGAAATCCTGCAGACAAGACTGCAACTTCCAAATGTTTCAGACCTGATAAAGGTCACTCCCAAAAGGTTTCCTACCATACAGATCTGACTCTCTTTTCCAACAAACCCTCAAAACGTGGACAACAATCACATATCAAACAGCAATCTCCAAGTATTTCCCCTTTCCACACACACTTGAGGACACACTCAGCAGTGTCTTCAGTCATTTTGTGTTCAGCTCCAGTTGTGCTCATGGGAAGTCTATCAAAGACACCTTACCACCGGCTGATCTGTTGAGTCTCTGATTGGCCTCACATATCAAACCAAAGATGATTTCAATCACCCATGTGGAAACTCAGGCATTCCAAAAGAATCACTGAACTACTAAAAGGAATCCTCCTTTTGGCTGCATGCTCCTTTTTGGACATTTCACAGGGTGTTTGTACAGTACTCTCTCTGTCTTTATGGTCCTTTTATGGACACTGAAAAATACTGGGGTAATTTCAAAAGTTTTTATTCCAACCTGTGAAACTCAATTATCAGATCTTGAGAAATGTCCAGTTGTAGCAAATTCTACTCATTCTTTCTGTTAGACTTGAACTGAAACATTTTGATATGCCTACATGAATCCACAGCTTTATTCCCAGGATATTCTTTTCCTACAGGAAGAGTGCTATCATGAGTAAAGCTCAACTAGCCAGCGTACTGGGAACTCAGACCCCCAAAATCACTCTGACTTTGGGACCAGCCATAAAAACTTATTGCCTACATGAGTCCTGTTGAGCCTCTATAATGTCTGACACACAGGTCTTGTTTAAGATACCAGAATTCCCAGCCAGATATATGAGATTCCTTACCAACTTTGCTATCATAAAAAGAGTATAGGCTGATGCAACTTAACTTCTGTTTGAGTTTGTTTACAGCTAGTTAGCGTGGCACAGCTCCTGAGTGGTAATATATTAAACCAGCAACCAGATATGCCCATGCTCTAAGCATGGAAATAACCCAATTTTCCTGAAAAAAAAAAATCACCAGACGCTGATAATCCATGTGTACTTAGTAATCCATAGGGCATCTATTTTCACTCTGAACCACATAAATTACTTTGAAAATGACACTGACCCTCATCTGAATTTCATAAACCCAGCATCAGTAAGAAAATTTCCTCAGGTAACCGCTCATACTTAGCCCTATTGACAACAAAGGTGGAGAAACACTGAATAGCGACATAAACACAACCTGAGCAACAAATCAGGCCAGTTGCAGTTACACCGGTAGCCTGCAGTCTCCATGCAGCAGATTTTTTATTCCGATCCTGTAATGAGAATTAATTGGTTCTTGCAATATCACACTGATAGGTATACCTGTAGGATATATACCATAGGATACCTGTAAGTATGCAGAGTAGAATAACTAACTTGAGCACTTATTTACAGATAAACTATTAGGCAATACATGAAAAATTAGTTAATTTTATCAGTTAATATTATCTACACACCATATAATAAAAGGAACAAAAGAGGGAAACAGTGGAATCACAACATCAGGTTTTCTTAACATCATAACATTCTGGACACTTCTGGGCAAGTGACTTCTAGCAGTAATATCTCAATGCTGCAAAAAAGTGAAGTGATGAATAGAGAGCTTGCACAGCCTGCCTGAAACTGCAGAGGAAAGCAGTGGCAGAACTGGCTTAATTTAAGATTCTTTTATGCTAGTGCACAAAAGTCCTAAGTGACATAAGTACTCCCTTCCTTAAGCACTGCAGTACCACATGACAAAAGACAATCCCTGCCTGGGGATTTGCCCTGGCAAAGACAAGAAAAAGGACCGCATGAAGAGCACGAGGATTTCACAAGGATCCTTTTGCAAAAAAGTTTTACAATGATGCAGAGGGGAAAATGTGAGCACAAAGATATGAAGTAGGCAGGCTCCTCGTCAAACAAGTGGAGAATTAGGTCTCTTTACTTACATACTAATACTCCCTCCGTGCTACAGTGCTCTGGTATCTGTGGCCTGCCTAGAAAAACCCAGGAGCATAGGAGTCCTTCACTAACCTGCATTGCATCAATGGCTGTAGTGATTCCTGATCTCCTATTCCGTCTGGCCAAGACATGCCGACTTACTTATGCATAAAATGACGAATGGCGCTTTATTACATTTCATTGCCGCAGTTACTTACGCGTGCAGGGTAAGGCTGAACAATCAAACTTGATTTGAATTAGAAACAATGCAATATAAGCTCTATGTTGCTTTATTTGCCTACCATCCTTAGGTGAGACAATTGCTGCAAATCCAGAATTTTCTTCATTATTTAAAGATTAAGAACCCAGCCAGAAATTACAGCAGTATATTCTGCCATTAAATTGCCATTATTAAGTGACAGCAACTACTTCCA